TTTAGCTGTTTTCTGAGTGTTTATTTATCTATGTTTGTGCTTAATTACAGGCATTGCCAAATGAGAATTGTTGTTCAAGTTTAAATCGGCACGCGACTTGCAAACTGGTTTTTATTTTTTTAGTTTTATGAATATTTTTGGTGGGGGCTTTCGATCGATAAACGATTTCCATATCCGTTTTAATAAACATAAATTCAGTAAACTGCGCTGAGCCCTCGGCCTGCATACAAATTGAGCTCAACTTGAGTGTGTGCCTGACCATCAGATACTTGAACACTTGTCTCTTCTGTGGACTGGCTGTGGGTGTTGGTAAATGTGAGTGTGAGTGTGTGTGTCTGTATGTGTGTTTATCTGCAACCCTTTGAGCGTGCTTCTTGAAATGTCAGTCAAGTTGCATGCGACAAGGTTGTCACAGCACTTGAGTTTCTCTTTCATTGTCTTCTCCTCTTTTCCTGTCTCTGAACCCCTCTCTCTCACTCTCTCTCTCTCGTTCGCAGTCTCGCACTTGCTTTGTTCTTTTGTTTTATTCATAAGATATTAGATTGTTTTGTATCTGTGGCAAATTGCAGTGATTTGTTATAAATTAAATGCCGCACACTACACTCAACTGACTGTTAATATCTAATCAATGCGCCCACTTGATATTTTTTTTGTATGTTCCCCTTTGAAGCTTTGGTCTTGCGACTGGTATATGTATCTATAAGTATGTATCTGTGTATCTATGTATCTGTGTTTGTTTTCTACTGTTGACTTTCGTCTTTCTCTGCCTGCCACTACCTACAGAAATGCTTTGACAATACTAATTGACTTCCTCACACACAAACAGACACACACGCACACACGTACGCACGTGTGTGTATATTTTCAATTGCGGTTTGCTGACGGAACGTTTCAAGTGCGCTGGCTTTCGCATTGTATTTATGAGTTTGAGTTATTTCTTTCCTTTACTTCTCTTTTTGCTTTTTGCCGATTTCTTCATTCGCTGAGCTTTGTTGCATACTAAGAAACCGACCTATGACTGAAGTCTAGTGGAAATTATTTATAAAGTGGCTATTCGAAAACTTTAAAAAAATATTTATAATTGATTTTTTATATGCAAGATATAGAAAATATTAAATATATAAAAATGAGCAAAACAACGAAACACAGCTTTGTGATTTCATTTTATAAATATTCTATATAAATCCTCACTCACATATCGTTACTTTTACTTTAGTCAATTTTGAACTGTCATCCCAGCTTGTATCTACAGATGCATCTCAATTAAATTCAACAGATTATATCAAAATGCATGATGAATCATTTGAAACAAAGTGAGGCAGCAGCTGAGAAGGCGCATAAAGACAACTCACTAAAGCCGATTGCAATTGGATGTTTGCGTAGGCAGCTAAAAATCCCAGCAGTAGCATCGACCTATGCCTGCCCAGCCCATTCCAGCATTTCCATTCCAATCCATTGCATCCATCGCCACATGGCAAGCCAAGTCACTTTTTTGTTTTTCCTTTCGTAGTTGGTTTTAAAAATAAAATGCAAAGCAAAACAAATTACGATATATGGTGTACGCATGTATAAAAGGATGCACATTGTATATCTACTATATCTCTCAATCTCTCGCTCTCTCTCTCTCTCTCTCATTGGCCCTGTCTCTCTCTTTTTGTCTGTCTGTCAGACTGCTGGGTTGTTGCTGCGTTGCGAGTGCATTCAAAATCAAACCTCAGCAAAGTCAGTTCGTCTTTATGTGGTTCATTAAAATAAGTATTTAACAAGGAAGAAAACACTCGCTCACCTTTGCCGAACACTGAATACACTTCTTACAAAGCGTAATATTATTTGAAGATAACATATTATTTATTTATTATCTAATAAGGCAATTGACTGAAATATATTTCAGATTTTATAGAAGCAAAAACTTAGTTTTATTTAGTAAAATATAACCTCTCTATAGTAAGCAATCGAAACATTAAACTTTTAAGTTAAAATGCTTTAGGGAAATTTTTACAACCATCCGAACAAGTTTAACTTTTTATGTATAATTACAGAGACTACATTGTATAGCAAAACCGTACATCGCCAAAAGCAAGATACTCTTTCGAAGAGTATTTATATAGACTACCCAAACAACCAGGCAAAGAAAACAGTTGCTCTTTTATATGAACTTCTATATATACATATGCACACATATACGGGTATATAGGCATGTCTATATATACACATAAATTTCTCGCCTTTGTTTATCGTGCACACGTTCCCCGTCCCTCTCTGGCAGACTCCTGCTTTACGATCATCTCCGTGTGTATTCAGCTCATAAAAACTCTTGCCACATGTGGCAAATTCAGTTGTCTGTTGGCATAGAATTTTCCTCAGCTCGATTTTAATTGCATTTGTTACTGCTGCTGCTGCTGCTGTCAGTATGCTTGTAACGGCACCCACATAGAATGCCGTTTTACCAGTTAATCCTGGGGAGCCATAAAACAAGTACGGCCCGACACATAATCGTCATTAATGACAAATCTTGAGGAACTTGTCGCTGGCTCATCACCAAAATAAAACTGGTCTCTGGCATCGCTCGTAGATGTGAAATAGGTTAAAGAACCGCTAGCTAAACCACTTTTCTGCTTGACCGGGCTAGACTTAAGTCAGTCTGAGAAAAATTAAACGAAATTGGAACGTAGCCCATAAACAAAATTATTTATTGGATTTGGAGCTAATTGCAAAATATGGATATAGGAATCTATAATCGCCAATCGGAAAAATGTCGCTGTTTGTCGAATTCTTCATGTTTTTATAATCTTGGAAATTTCAATACATTTATATATTTTTAATCCATAATAATAATTTTGATATCAAACTAAAATAAGTTTTTTATAACTTAAGGTATACAGAAATATACAATACTTATGTATAGGTATAGGTATTGTAAAAAATACTAAATGATTGCAAGGGTATCTTATCTTTAGCATAGCTCAGTTAAATTTATAGAAATTAAAAAAATATATAATTTTGTCTGTCGTTTCCTCTGTCAATAGCAATATTAATTGCTGTTCGTCACAAATTCAATTTCAGTAAATCCAGCCTAAAGCGCCGAATGAGACACAGATACACACACAGGCAAAGATAAAAAGCTGCTGATGATGTCAGCATTTGAGCGCTAGGAAGGGCGGCGTTGCCAAAAAAAAGAAAATATACAGAAAACAGAAACAATATTCAAGAGCTGTATAAACAAATGTTATTTTTAACAAGCTTCTTCTTCCAGCTAGCCCCTGCCTTGCCAAGTGAGTTGTCGCGCTTATCTCTAGCCTACTCACACACAGTAACGCACACACAACATGATAACGAACGGCGTGTATGTAGATGGCACCCGAGCAGCAACAACAACAGCAATAGGTAATATGAAATGCTCATCGTTTATCTATATTTCAACGTGTGTTGTTCTTATTATCAGCTGCTTTGCAACTAATAAACGAAGCAACTGAACACGAAAAGCCGCTAAACAAACATTACTGTTGTGTAAATGTGTGTGAGTGTGTATCCTTATCGAACCTAACTAGGTTTTTCTTTCATATTATTGCGTGTGAAATATCAAAATGCAAAAATGCGATTTGTACAGAATAAAAAGAAAACAACATCGAACAGCTGCAGAAACACAGTAGGGCTTATTTTACCGTTCGAGAGCGGGTGACTGAGGCTTTGCAGTCGTGCGTTTTATTTGATTGGCGTGACAAAAGCTCAGCACAAAATGAAAGCGAAAATATATATTGAAAAATCAACAGTACATCATTGGGAGAGAGAGTCTGGGAGAGAGACAGAAGAGAGTGAGTGGCACAGTGGGCGTTGGGAGAGAGCAACAAATGCAATGACCTGAATTTAAAGGGCGGGTGTCAATGCGTGCGTGTGTGTGTGTTAAAAGGTAAACGTGTGTGTTAAAAGGTAAACATGTGAGTGAAAAAAAAAAAAACATAATTGAGAGGAGCAGGCAAATATAACAAATAAATAAATCAAGGCGCGGCAGGTGGCGACAAGTGTTTACAGCTATTCAAGCCAGCCTTAACAGTTGTATTATCACAGGCTGCTGCGCATGTATGAGTGAACTGTATTGTGTATACATACATATAAGCAACGTCCTTGTGCCTAACACAATAGTAAACCAAGAGGAGGGGTTGGGAGTATGTATGCATGTATGCATGTGTGTGGCAGCGCCACCCAGTTAGCTGTTGTCGAAGTCTACTCTTACGTTTGTGTGCGTGCGCGTATGCGTGTTCCTTTCCCCGTGTGATGCTGTACGCCTTTCCTTGTGTGTGTGTATGTTCTGGAATTTTGCGTGCTTATTGAATTTTCAGCGGCTTCAATGAGTTGCGCAAAATGAACAGAGAACGCTTTGAACATTAATTTATTAAACTAATCGAATTAAATGGTACTTTGGAACATTTACACTTGTCTGTTACGTTTTTTTTTTTTCTTACGCTGCTGCTGCGCCCTTTACACACACATATACACACAAAACACGACACTCATACACGGGCACAGAATTTTTTCACTGGTGCAAAAACGGTTAACCAAGTAAACAGCTAAAAAACACGAATTAAACTGTCAACGAAATACTTTAAATAATGCGCGCACATGCCAATTACTGCAGGTCTATTTGTTATGTTAGAGCAGCGCGCACATTTTGTTGACAGTTTTCTTTTTTGGTTTTTGTCAATTGCCCGTTGGAAATGTAAATTGCATTTTTTAATGAACTTTTTGCGCGGTGCGTAGGAATCTGTACGAACCGTTCACGACAACGCCATTTTTACTTCTGACAGCTGTTTGGGCTCATTGGTGTGCGATATGTATTTTATACCGATATTTAGGTATATATTTACAATTAAACATCGATAACTTAGGCTTACAAAATATTTGTTTATTTATTGTTGCTGTCACGCTTGTCAACTGCAAAACCTATGTTATAACGATAGCATCGTCTATCGATGTTTATCCTCTATTAATAAACGAATTCAAACTTGAATAAATCGCTTCAGTTTAATGCCCGCGCCTTTTTAAATATAATTTTGTTTGTAATAACATCTGATTTTGGGCTTCTAAAAAATAAATGTATAAAAAAAATCGTGCAGAAATATCGCTAAATGGCTGCATAACTAACTAAACAATGTGAGGAACTGCTTATTTCTTGGCCTTGGCTTTGGGTTTAGCTGCACCTGATCCACTTGCCTTTTTAGCTGCTGGTGCCGGCTTCTTTTTGGCCTTGATCAATGCATCCAATTCAAGTTTGTCGTCGTCTTCATCTTCGCTGGAGTGCACAACTTGGCCCCCTTCTTCATCCTCGCCATACAGCATACCCGCCTCCTCCTCATCACCTGCTGCTTCGGCGCGCTTCTTTTTGACGGTGGCCTGCGCAGAGTACGAATACGGCATTACCTCTTTGTTGTAGGCACGTGTAAGCGCCGCCTTGACGCGTCCATCAACAGCATCCATCGGAGACTTTTTGCCTGGCCAGCTGGACAGTTCGATCAACGATTCCAAGTCCTCGCGCAGCAAATGATAATCCTTCATGACCTGCAGCGCAGCAGCCACGCCTTCCTGCCCATCCTCAGCTAACGGGCGCACAATATTGCCCAGCAAATGCGGCGCATATTCCAGACGTACGGATTGCCTGGAGCCCGATGTGCAGATGCGCGTATGATCGTGCAGCTCCTGGGCGAGGCGCGATCGTTTGTTGCTGCGCGAATTCTTGCCCAGCCAGCCGGGAAAGTTGATCTGACCCGTAAAATTACCGCACATATATTCGCCAGGCAGCAGGGAGCTGAAGACGGCCTGCGTGGGCAGCAGACTCCAGGCGGAGTTGGCGCGAATGCGTTTATCCACCATGTCGCCAAGGCTGAGTGCATCTGCAGTCGCCGCCACCTTGGAGAGAATCTCATTACGATTGCCCTGCGGTGTTACCTGAAGGTAATTCTGCTGCACAAACAGCGGCGCCATGCTGTAGTCGTGGAAGAACAAATCGCATTTGTCGAAGATGCTCATGTGCTTGTGCTCCTCTGCAGCGAAGACCTTGCGCACCACCTCCCAAGGTCCCAGTTTCAAATCCTTGGCGGCTACCTGTGGAGTGGCTGAGGGATTGCCTGGCAACTGCTCGCCAGCGCTAAGCAGCGCAATGTGATTGATGGTCTGTCGGATGTCATTGTTAGTGGCGCCTATAATCTCCTCCAGCTTGCCCGGCGACATTTTGATTTTCTCCTTGAAGCATATGCTCATGATGCGCCCCTTGATCTGCTCGATGCGCGGTCGCTGGAAACGCAAATCGTAGCAATAGTTGACCAGCGAGCGTATCTTGGGATGATTGCGATCGTTGCACATGCATATGATGGGTACAGAGCTGTCCTTGATCAGGGCAATCAGCTCCTGCATGCCGCCGCGATCCTCATTGCCCGCCATGCCATCAACCTCGTCCATGATGAGCACATGCTTTTTGGACACCGCCTGCGTCTTGCCATTGGCATAGCCAGCAAGTGACTTGTTGCCCAGCAGGCTGGACACCTCCTCCTTGAGCAGGCGCTTGCTGCGCGTATCCGAGGCATTGAACTCCACTGCATCGAAGCCCAGCTCCTTGGTCACGAGCGTCGCAGTTGTTGTCTTGCCTATGCCCGGCGGACCGGAGAGCAGGGCAGCCTTGTAAAAGCTGCCATCATCATTTTTGGCCCACGGATTGGGTCGCTGTAGTTTCTTCTTGCCATCGTGATTCACATACCACTTGGACAGCCAGTTCATCAATCTGTGGAGAGAGAGAGAAAGAGAGATTGTTGAATTGAGTTATTAAAAAGTATACTAATTAGGGTCTATCATGATCAATCATGTAGTCAGTCACTTAACTAGTTCTTTACTCAGTCAATACAGATGTATATATATGGTATATAGTACAGGGTATTCACTTCGACTCACTTGGTTACATTGCTGTTCGCTCCTGCCTGGCCCACAATGTCCTTGATTGAAGTGGGCTTGTATTTGTCCACCAAGGCCATATTCATGCTGACATCCTCCTCCTTAACGTCAGCCACATTGTTGTTGGGTTCCCTTTTAATCTGTGAACTGGAACTTAGCTCGGTCTTCATCTTGAACCCGTTGCTGCTTGACTCCTGCTGGAAGCCGTTACTGTTCAGATCGTCTGGATCCTTTTTAATCTTGGAGCTGCTCTTATGTTCATGCTCCTGCTTCGCAACGCTGCTGCTCTTCTCCTCCAATTCTCTTTTAATTTTTGAGCTGCTTTTTTCCTCTTGCTCTCGTTTGATTTCCGGACTTATCTTCTCTTTATGCTCCTTTTTAACCTTTGGGTTGCTCTTCTCATGCTCATTCTTCATCTTCGGGCTGCTGTTCTTCTCCTGTTTTACTTCGGAGCTCTTCGCTTTTACAGTTTCGCCAGACTTTTCCCTTATCAAATCAAAGAGTCCATCCTCGCTGAGTATGGTTACATGGAACTCCTCAGCTTGGGCTAGTTTTTTGGGTCCTGCCTCCTCGCCCACCACCAAGTAGTTGAGTTTTTTGCCCACGACTGTCATGACACGCCCACCAAATCCCTTAATAACCGAGGCGGCTTCATCACGTTCCATGGACTCCAATATGCCAGTGACCAGGAATGTTAATCCCTTCAAGCAATCGGGCGATCCTTTGGGTATCTCTTTGCTGCCCGGATTTAGGCAGCTGCTCCGATTCTTGTACTTCTGATAGAGTACAGCGGCCATGCGTTTGCGCTCGTGCCGCTCCTCATCGGACAGCACGCTGCTCTCCAGATCCACATGCTTTTCCTGTTTAGGCGTTTTAGCCTTGGTAGTCTTGGCCTCTGCTTTGGGAGTCTTTGTCTCCGCCTTGGGTGTCTTGGCCTCTGACTTGGGCGTCTTGGCCTCAACATTAGGGGTCTTGGCCTCAACCTTGGGCGTCTTGGCCTCATCCTTGGGAGTCTTGGTTGGGCTGCTGGCCTTGCTTCTTTTTCGGCTAGCCGCTGGACTGGGAATTAGATCATCCACATCTACTTCCATGAGACTGCGATCAATGTCCTCATCTTCCAATTCGATAAGACTACGCTCCTTCGGCTTGGACGCCTCTATGCGTGTAGTTTCGCCGCCAAACAACTCCGTCGGATCCACCTTCTTCAGCTGCTTGGGCGGCTCCTTCAGCTTGGACAACGAGGGCTTCTTGGTGGCGTGTCCATTGTCAGGGGCATCATGTGTACGCCGTGATTTCTTCAGCTCCTTTCCATGCTTGCTTATCTGCGGACTGGCGGGCACCTCGTCCTCATCGCTGGATATGGCCAGGGCCTTCCGCTTTCGAGGCGCCGGCGTTGGCGGCGAGGTCGCATCTTCATCGCTGGTTTTCTTGCTGGGCACTCGCTTGAAGAACGAGTCTATACCCTGTCAATAGAAACAATAACATAGATATATCTTAATAATAATATTAATAATAGAGAAATCGTACTTACGCGCTGCATTTTTCTTTTGCATTAATTTCGCATGGATGTTGGTGCAAAAAGGCGCACAACGAAATAAAATCGATAAGTTTTTGGCATTTATATCGCATGAATGTGACCGTTGGCTCAGAATTTTGGACTAAACAGCTGTTGAGATGAGGTTGCTGTATCGGCTACAAAAGTACCAAATGTGAAACTCGAATGCTCAAATATGGTACAAATTCGTCCAAACTGGTACTTATTAGTACATTTTTATCCAATGCACGTTTGAAAATATCAAATGTACGGTGAGCTGTATAATATTAAAGAGTACATTTACAAAAATATTTGGCATGGTACAATTATATTAAACTATAAACTTTTCATAATAAGGGATGCATGAATTATTTAATTTGGTACACGGAATTGAAGTTTCAGTGTACTTAATATTATAATCTTAAATACATCGATTACGATATTTATATATTTCAAAAGTATTATACCAAAAATTATTAAATATAATATAAAAATATGCTGGTACATTCAAAATATTTTGATCTGGGTCCATTCTTGTTGCTTGCTGGAAACGAAAGCCATAGCATCTAGCTTTCGTCATGCCTAAATCTCAAATTTAAACTGCAGATAGAAAGGTTAAATTTCACTTTAAAGTTAAGCAAACAGAATCAATTTACTACAACAACAAATTGTTTTGGGTTGACCAAACGCTTAAGGCTTGCATTGATTTAACATGTTATTTGACACATGCTCCATCAATCTTGCGATAATGCCGACTAATCAAGTCAAATCACATTATCAACGTCACCCTCAAACACTATTCACTTAGAAGGTCACAGCAAAAAGCTGCTTAGTTGCATTTACAAGGCATTTGAAATTCACCATCCCCCACAATGGAAGAGTGTCGCAGGGTCTCTAGCCAGCTCGCTGATTACACGCACAATTAAGGGTTGTGGACAGGCGCCATTACCCTGGCGACACATCCACCCGTTCGGCGACCGCACGCGCACCGCTTTGTGCGGCTTGCGGCCTGTTGCACGTGCAAACACTAACGGCAACAATAGCAACAACGTTGGCGAAATGTTTCCCTTGGGGCAGCAGCGAGTGCAGATCGTTACTTAAACGTGATTTTTGAATAAATTGAATATAAACACGGTGTCCCCCTCATATCATTTTAGCATTTCCCAAATGTATTACAAGTGAATATCTAATTATACATTTAACATTAAGTGTTAAGTGTGTGAATTTTCAAATTTCATGTTGTGTAAAATTTCTCATTGTGCTGCCAGACTGCATTGCATTACATAGCAATTAGCTTTGGTAGGTGTATTAAATTGCAATCGCTAAATATTTCCTCTAAGTATTTTTTCCAAGTATTTTCTCTAATTGTTTCTTCGAAGTATTTAATGCTCAGCTGATCATTGGATCATTAAATATTTGCACACACTTCACTTCACTTCACTTTACTGCACTGCACGATTGACCCCCACCAGGCCTGGGCGACTGAAGAAATGCTGCAGCTGCTGCCCTTTATATAGGGCACCTATCACTCAGGCTCTATGTCGCACTCAAATGTTGAGCCCGTCGTCAGGTAGGGATCGTTGCAGTTGAGCTTTAAGTGACCAATGAGAACACTCTCTGCATTCTCTCAAGCATTCTAACTTCGTTTCATTTATATATAAATACCGAATGAAAACTGCTGCATACATAAGACGACTTAGTTGACAGACAGAGAGACTGACGGAGAGACACTCTGTGAGTTAAACAGGCAGGCAGACAGAGAGGCAGATATACAGACAAACATATGAATAGATATTTAGGCAAACAAACACGCATAGTTAGCTTATGTACATTAATATTTATAATTGTATTAAATGGCATAGACAGCAATTTCTAAAGTTCCATACTTCTCTTTAGGACGATAACTTCTGCATAGTCTGCCTCAATTCCTGCTTTCTCTCATACTCATTTTAAATGGATTTATTATTAATAGCTAGCTACTTTCAAATAGGCTAGATTTAGCCTGAAATAGGCTAAGCTGGCAACACTGAATCGTTTTTTTAGCGCCAACCGTGAGCAACAATTAACATTAATTAATATTTGCATATGAGACACTTGCATACAGACGCTCATGCGTGTGTGTTTGTGTGTGGCGCCAAAGAGTCTCATTTGCTTCATTGTTGTTGCTGTTTTTCTTGCTGCGCAACAGGTTGATGGCTTGACATATTAGCAATGGCGCATTCAGTTACAAGCCGCAAGGGGAGCGCATTGAAGCATTACAAGAAATATTGCAACGTAATTTTGGTTTGCCTTTGTAAAGGAAATACAAATAAAGAATAAAGGGTTGCCCAATTGGTAAACGCCCACAAGGCTGCCGGACAGATGACAAAGTTCCCACACACACACACACACACACACACTCACACTCACATGAATATAAATTGCCAAACGCGCCAAATCACATTTAAATTATGCACAAAAGTCGAAATGTAAATAGAATAAGGCAACTTTTCTCCCTTCTCATCAGATATCCCTTTTTCCGACGCCTGTAAATCGAATTTACACGCCTTTATTACATTTTACGTTCGATTACGTGACGTTGATTGTTGTCAAATTGTTGCCAGATTTAAATTTTTTTCTGCATGACTTTTGCTTAAATCCCATTGGACACATTTCACTGTATGTATGTATATGTGCGTGTGTGTGTGTGTGCGTAGTGTGTTGCCTTTGCCACTAATTGGAAAATGGCGTGTGATTGCAAACACTTGTTCTAGCACTGGCCGAACCCCGTGTAACGGTAACCCCCTGTTGCTGTTTGCTTTTAGCATTTATCGATCATCAGGCTGTGGCCCTCTTATTTTTGGCACTTTGCGTTTGCAGTTTATTGTAATGTGTTTTCGTGCTGACGCTAATTCAGCCTCGTTGGGCTGCCTAACTTCCTGCTCTTTCTCTTTAATCGTGATTAATTGTTTTGACGCATTATTTTGATTTGATATTTATCAAAATGTCGCAAAACGCGCGCTTAGCCTTTTATTATGTTTATTTAACTGATTAATCTCGGGGTATTTACGACTCGTAAACATATATTTAGTGGGTGTGTATGTGTGTGTGTATAGACCCTTTTTCTGATGAAACTCTTCGAAACTAAATTTGCATTCAGCTTTTATGCTAATTTCTTTGTCAGCTTAGTTAGTGAAAAATTTGTTTTTCCTGCTGAATGAACTACAACTAATTATTATAAAAAAAAAAAAAAAAAAAAAATAAAACATTTGACTATTACTCATGGCCATGTTTTAATAAATGTGTTTTAAGCTAATGAAAAATGGCCTAAAGTAATGTGAGAAAATATTTATGTATGGGACTGTCTATGACCTAAAAAAATAGATATTAGATAAAACAAGTAAAAGTAATTATTTATGACTATATTGGACATGCCTTATAATAATTAATAGTTTTAGAGTCTAGATCTAAATTTTTCTAAATTTTTAACTACAACATAATAGTTTACTTATCGAGATGCTTAAAGCAAGATTTTTGTGGCCTTTCATTTCTGCTTTATTTTGACCAAGTCCCGTAATAGCAAATGCCACAAACTGTCACAGTTTGTTCAGTATTCGTTAAAATTGACTCCGCCCTCAAATTGAATTTCATGTGAATTGGTAAGTTCGCTTTAAGGACGTCTACAGCTCCAGCTACACACACACACACACACACACACACACACACACACACACACACACTTAAGTTGGCCGTCGTTTTCATTGATTTCAATTTGCTTTCGTTGCGACGCCATATTTCAATTTCTGACCGTCGCACAATTTACAAGCCTTAGCATGTGTCTCCAATCTGCTCCGCCCCGGCCCCGGCCCCGGCCTCAGGCTCCTCTCTGTGCGTATGTATGTGCGTGCGCAGACAGAGGCAAGTTGGGGGGCTTAGTTCAGCAGACGGACGGGACAGCTTAATTGATGAACAAAGGCGTTTGGTCCAAAGTTTTGCTTAGGCGAGAGAGATACGAGCATGTCTCTGCAGAGACATTGGCATGAGCTAACCAAAGGGAGGCACTGGGTTTCAGGTACTGAACTATATGTGTGTGTGTCCGTGTGTGTGTGTGCTGGGCCAGTTGTAGTCATCGTCTTCGGAGGAGTTGCAGAAGTCGTACAAAATATTTAACACCCGCTGCGCGTATTTATGGGAGAATGAACCTGTGTCTTCGACGTCGTCGTCGTCGTCGTCGTCGTCTCCACCATTTTGTCTAAGACGCGCACGCGGCCAGCTGGAGTTGGCTATATTAGTTCCATTTTGGGAATATGTCGTGAACTATTTATGTATATATTAATGTGTATATACATATATGTATATGGGAAATAGTTCAATATCTTGTCAAATATATAAACCCGATGAGCTTTGAACCTTATTTTCATACACACGAATATTTTATAAGTTCTGTTTATATTAAAAAGCTTATGAATCTATGAATGAAAATATTCTATAATTAATATCAATAAATATATATTAAATTTTATATTTATTTTATCATTTACTCATTCGATAAGGTTTTGTCGACGTTGAAATTTTGATTTCGGAATCGCCTTAAGTTCACTGAACCAGTTCAATTCATTTCATTTTAATGAATCCTTTAATTGTGAACGAACTGGAACAGCACTAATCCAGCGTCGTTCTCAACCTCGGTCGTGTGTTGTCTCCTTTGGCAGATTTGCAATTCCAATTGGCGCGACGTAGTCTTGGCTGTCGACTCTTTGTCTCTCTGTCTCTTTGTCTCTCTGTCTGTCTGTCTGTCTGTTTGTCTGTCGGTTGTCTGGCATTCGTTCTCCAGCGATGATTAGTGCTCAGCGCTGTTGTTTCCATCTCTGTCTAGTCACATCGGGCACATAGAGTAGGGAGCGGGAGGGGAGCAACGCTTTCTTAATGGCCGCCAGCCGCAGCGGATGTCCCAGCTGTCCGGTGTTTGTCCTGCCCACCGTTTAACCTGATTTTTATTGCATACACAGCGCAATTATTTGTTTTATTAACTGTTGAACACGCAGCCTTTCGTTTCCTCATGTTGAAGAAAAAAAAAAAAAATTGAAAAACAATTGTAAATTGCTTAAATTATGAATTATGTTTGCCTTTCGTTTAT